ATTGGAAAGGAAAAGGGCTTGCATTTTGAGACCATCTGTGGGAGTTACATTGTCTGAAACTGACAAGAGATCATGGCAGATGGTGAGGTCACAGAGATTGACTCTTTGAGTTTGACATAATGTGTTCATGAAGGTGGAAGGAGAAATCCGATTTATTTTGTTTAACCAACAGAAAACTTGGTGACTGGAAGAAGTGTACAATTGTTGACTCTGCGTAAAACATAACGCATCGATGCACAAGACCGGCTTATCTTTGAGAATGGCAATTTCTTGAAACACTTGGTGCTGTGTTTATTTACTTTCTAGACATTTGATTTAAGTCATATATTTTAAATGATTTGTAGCTTAAAGACAATGTAAAAGAAAGACAAGAGCTTTTAAAAATACTTAGAATGTATACGTATTTTAGAAAGGTGTATTTTAAATTAAAGAGTCATAAGCTCTCACTCAAAGCCAGTACAGCATACGTCTTCATTTTTAATTGAATGAAACATATCTCTGTCACAATCCTATTGCCTTTTGTAATATTTGTCTTACTGTGAATTTAAATTACATTTGAAGGTTTATGCTGTTTCCCTCATTCACTAGGATATCTCCCATACCTCCATGAGTGCCTTATGCAGAGTGGGTGTTCAGTGTTCGCTGGATGAATCAAATAAATCAGCGAATGGATTTACAACCGAATCCTATTAATTTTAGAGGTTTTTCTTAACAATTAAAACCATTTTTTTCTATTTTAAATTGGATTCATGGTGTGGTAATTTTCACTTACACAATCTATGAATTCCGCATTATTTATTTGTGAGTAAGAAACCTTCATTTGTCATGAGAGATAGTGAACTGCTTTTTTCCCCTAACATTGGTTGAGTGCTAACCTTGTGCTAGGCAGTTTCTTAATCAGTTTTATTGCCTTGACTCATTTAGTTAAGTAGATATACTATTACTGTTTTTGCAGATGAAGAAATTGAGGCCCAGAGACATTAAGGTAAATTTGCTCAAGAAACTTATGCACTTTTGCTCTTTCAAACGTTAATTTCAGGGGAAATAGGGAAAGAATTTACAGGAACTAGTATAAAGGACTCATGGACAACTAAGGCGGGTGGAAATGGGAGGGAGGTGGGGAGCACTGGGGGGGTGAGCTGGGATGGGAGTAAAAGACAGAAAACTGTACTTGAAAATAATTAATTAAAAATATTTAAAAAAACATTTTTCATTTAGGTAACATTTAGAGGTTCCAGTTTGTGCTAGCTCTGGTGAAAAGATACAAAGGAAATACTAAAAATTTTCCTTCATCAAGCTCATTAATGTGGCTACACAGTATTTTTATTGGTAGCCTATTGTTATAGTGTGTTGAAATAGTAACACAGTTCATTTGTTTTATTTGCGAGAGTAGCACGTGCCACTCAATAACACAGTCCTTAGGAAATATAATACAAGATTGAATGCTAAATGTAGTAATGAAGCAGATGCATGGGGACAGGCTTCTGTTGCCATCACAACCAAACTCTGGACATGAAGAAATGGGGAAAAGGGCAAAAAGAGTAGGCAAATCTGGTAGCTCCGCCCATCAATGTCTGCTTATATTTCATTGGCTGGAATTACATCATATGATCAGCCTGTGTGAGAGGGAGACTGAGAACGTAGTCATTTTAGTTGGACACATTGCCACCTTCAACTTCTAAGGAAGAACAGAAAATGACTTTGGGTAGGCAACGGTATCTGCTTTAGATAGATGTAGCAAGTTTCTGAAATATAACAGGTACTTTGAATTGAAAAAACCTTATTGTCCCAGGTTCTTTGGATGGAAAATACCTTATTATCTTAATTATAAATACATTTCAGTCATTCCTAAGGTAATCTTGAAAATATTTAAAATGGATTTTTTTGTGTGGTTAGGAGCGTTTAGTGTTTATGAGCCACAGGGCATTTGGCACATTAACTGGTGGATTTGACGATTTTCGCTTCGAATGTATCAAACTTACCCCTAACACAACCCTAAAAAACCCAGTGGGCCTCTTCCAAACGAGGACACTGAAGCTCTGGGGGGTTCAGTCACTTGGTCAGGGTCACACCAGCTAGTAAGTTTCAGAGCTGAGACGGAGCCTAAGTTTAAAAAAGGAACCGTGCACTTTCCACTCTGCTAACACTGCTGCTTCATTTGTTATACAGGGCGCTTCCAGCAAGGCACTTAGAACCAGTTATTTTGATTTGCTTTTATTTCATTAATTCTGTTTTCTTCTTCTTTTGAGTTCCCACTGATTTTTTTAAACTTAAGTTGGTTGCTTCATGAATGAAAAGAAATATAAATGTACTTCTGAGTTAGTATTTAAGCTGCACATTATAGGTTTTCTTATTTTCATTGTTGTTCAGTTCTAAATATTTCAAATTTCCTTCTTTAATTCATGGGTTGTTGGAGCAATAATATATTTTTACTATCTAAATATCTGATTTTAACTTTTAAAAAATTGGCTGACTCCTAATTTAATTGATTGTGGTTAGAGACCATAAACTAGATAATATTGCCTCTTTGAAATTTGTTACTACATCATTTGTGATTTTGAATGTGGACCAATTTTGTAAATATGATCTCAGGTATAGGGTCCCATGTAGATCTATTATATCAAGAGTGGTTAAAATAGTAATCTTCAAAATGAAGTATTTATGTTTTAGCCTTAAATTCCTAGTTTTAATATGTCACGTAATTTGGTGAATGGGATCTCAGGAATGAGTGCTTTATTATTTATTTCACTTGTAATACTGAAGAGGAGATATCAGACAATTGACGAATGTAAAACAGTTCCACTGTAGGAACTTGGATTTTCTATGAGGTCATGATAGATGTTGTGAACCAATCTGCAACTACAGTCGCAAAGCAAAAATCAACTTTACCCTGAAGTTGTCTTATTAAAGTTTTAATTTTGAAATAATTTTAAAATAAGAGAAAAGTTGTAAAAATAGGGCAATGAAGTCTTGAATACCCTTTTCCCAGATTTACCAGTTGTCAGCATTTTGCTGTATATGCTTTATCATTCCATGTGTGTGTGTATAAAAATATTCTTTTCATCATTTGACAGCAAGTTGCTGCTGTCACACTTACATAAAAAACTCCATGATACTGTCACTGAACTCAAGGGGTTTGCCACTTGCAGTGTTCTATTCAAGAATGAGACGCGGCTGTTGCAAGGTTTTATTTACTTGCAGCGAGTGGAGACGGGATTCACATCCAAAGCTCTGGCTCCCCAAAGAGGCTTAGCCAATGTTATACATGTTGATTTCTTTGCTGTCGGTTACTTTATCCAGTTGAGTTCCTGGCAAGCTCATCCTGTTCACAGCTGCATCTGCAGGATACTGGGCTGCACTTTAACATCTAGACATTTAGCAAGAATAAGTTGTAATAAGAACAACCCAGACCTTGAGAGATTTGTCCTATCTAACTGTGATCAACAGCTGGAAATACAATATTAAAACAATACTATTTTAAACAAACAAACAAATAAATAAATAAATAAAAACAATATTATTTACAGTCTGTGGACCATATTTCAATTTGTCCAATTGTCCCAATAATGTTCTTTACAGTAGTTACTTTCTGGTCGAGAGGTGAGTCCAGGAGCATAGGTTGAATTTAATTTTCATGTGACTTTAGTCCCTTAAATTTGGGATGTTGTTCAGGCTTGTTTCATCTCTAATGATGCCAACATTTTAGAAGAAGTCTAAATTATTTTACAGAGTGATTCTCAATTCTCTGATTTTTAAAAATAATTATGCATTTTAGGTAGAAAACCTCAGAAACGGCATTTTACCCACCTTAATGCACTTGAGGAGATGCAGATGCTGGTTTGTCTCGTTGTTGGTGATCACTTGGTGGCTCTGATCACTTCCGTTCAAATGATGTGTCTCAGGTTTCTTCACTGTAAAACATTTTTTTAAAGATTGTACTTCTTTATCTTTAGAGGGGAGGGGAAGGAGAGGAAGAGAGAAATATCAATGTGTGGTTGCCTCTTATGTGTCCCCCACTGGGAACTGGCCTGCAGCCCACGCATGTGCCCTGACTGGGAATCAAACCGCGATACTTTGGTCCACAGGCCCGTGCTCAATCCATTGAGCTACACCAGTTAGGCTGGCTCTTCACTGTAAAATTTGAATTAATATGTATTTTGCGGGGAGATGTTTCAAAAGTATACAAATATAATTTTTCTCACCAATTCTCTTCCACTAGTTTTAGTATCTATCGCTGATTCTAGCCTAAACCTTTACAGAAAACCATAAATTGGAAGTTCTCTACATCATTCCTTTATACAGGCAGTGGCAAAAAAGTAGGTTTACAGTTTTGAGTACACAAAACACAGTTTCTTTTTGTATTATTTATTAATTATTATATTTTCCATGCAAACAGCTGTAAGCCTATTAGCTGGCATTGCATTACAAGAAGGCCTTTCCCTTCTTCCTCATTGTTTGTTCGTGTCGGTATGGTCTCCTGGAATATCATTTTGTTCAGGGGCTTATAGTCTGTTCTATTTGTTACTATCAATATGTACTTCGGTGTTTATTGTCCAGTGGTAGGCCCTTTAAGCTGCTCCCTGTATACATTTGATACGACTCCGTCACTTCTTGAGCCCTTCCTTACTTTAGGTACAGTAATGTTCCAGGTTTATCTCGCACATCTCCTGCCCCAGCCCTGGAATTGGCTGTTCATCCAAGAAGCCTTGATGTCTCCCTCAATGGGTTACTCAAAGCAGCATAATACAATGTTTCAAAGCCCAGGCTCTGTCACTTGTTAGCTGAGTTGATTTAGTCAAAGTGTTTAACCTCTCTAAACCCCAATTTTTATCTGGGAAACGAGGATTCAAATGGTACATATCTTATAGTTTTGTTGTGAGGACTCACTTAGATATTCACTTAAAGAACAATGCATGTTGCATAGTATATATGACATAAATGTTGCCTATTATTATTATTATTATTACATTATTGTTCCTTCTTTTCTCTTCTTTTAACAGGATGTATTTTAAAGAATTGTTGAAGACAAAACATCTTATTTTCCTTTTTTAATGGCTTTAGAGAATTTTAAACCAAATACAATTTGACATGACGGCAAAAAATGTAAGTATGTGTAAATTTTTAAATGGGTTTTTAAAGTGATTGTACTTTTTCCCTCAGGTCTTTTATCCACCACTCAGATGAATCAAATTCAGTTTACTGGTATTAATTCATAATCGTTTTTTAATGCAAAGAGTGAGACAGTAAACTCCAATCCTATTGAATGCAAGTGCGCTAACTAATGGGCAGGGTAGCGTTCTTCAAAATGCTGCTGAACGACTGCTCAACAGCTGCCCCGTTGCTCTCTCCAGAAAGTCCCCCCACCTGCTCCTTTGTTGGGCACTGCAATGAATTTGTTTTGGTACTTGCTGGAGAGTTTCTTGCCCTTACTGTTCGGTTCAATTTTTTGTTTGTTTTACTCAGGGAAATGTGTATACTCAGATGTTCGGACCTTACTCTCCTCCATGATATTGATTCTTGACACTACATTAGACCTTAGATGTTTTGAAGAAGTTACTCATTTGTTGTTGTTGTTCAAAACTGTCATTTCTGGATCTACTTTCTTTGAAGTTACATTTTAATTGTCATTCTGTATCAGTGGATTTGTTTCCAGTTAATGATAAAGGATTTTGCCAGGATTATTATGTTGGAATCTTTGATTGCAGGGTTACAGAAACTACCTTTGACTACCTTAAACAAAAAGGGAATTTATTATAAAAATACAAGGATGTTTCCAGGAACTTTGAACTCTACCAGGAATTGAGGCAGTATTTCTGCTTTTCTCTGTACGTCCGCCTCATTCCCCTGTCTCTCTGCAAATCTTCCTCAGTTCTCCAGTCAGCATCTCAGTCAACGTGTTACAGAACCAGGCTGTTCAGAGAGAGTGGAGAGTGAGGGGAGGGCCGGAGGCAGCCTGGCAGACTCTGCCCATCCCCCTCAGCCCCAGGTTCGGGCTCCTTGGGAAGGACTTGGCCGAGCTCAAGTCTCAGATCCACTGGTGGTTTGGTTAGTTGTCATCAGGAGAGGCAAACACTATATTGAGTAAAAAGTTCTCCTTATGAGCCAGACCAATAGTTCTAAGTACTACCGTTATACATCTTACCAGAGAATAGCATTAAGAAGTGAACTCTTACACTTACCTCTGTTTCGCTCTTACTAATCTTGCTTTTAGCATGTACTGGTGGCTGTAAGCAGATATATGTTTTGCTTCATTAACATTGAGTTAATTTTGGTGAGATAAATTACCAGGAATAGTTCACTTTAATCTAGGACTCTTGTATATATTTATTAAAGTGTCGTTTGGGAGAAAGAAGAGAAATTTTAGTCTTTGTATTGGGAATTTTCTTATAGGATATTACCTTGATTTTCTCTCCTTTAGAAAGAAAGAGGATGTCAAAGTGATCCTGAGCAATAAGATGCTTAGCACTTAAATAGCAAAAGTAAATTTTGGCTTAAAATGTACCTTGAATCAAATACAATCTTCCTAGTTATGTGTACAGTTTGCTGACTAAAAGTTGTTTCCCAAAAGTAATATAAAGCATCTGAAATTACCAGTGCTAATTATACCACTATTATGTTGCATATATATTTGGAAGAAAACAATAACCAACATGTTTTATCCACGTGTGGTGGATAAAAATTTGGGAGGGATTTCACGGGAGCGAGGAGTTCCAGTCCCACACCAGGCCCCCCCGCCAGGGTTCCAGTGTCAGGAAGATAAGTCCCCAAAACTTCTGGCTGCAACCACCAGCAGGGACTGAGACAAGGGAACAAAATGCTAGAGTCCCAAGCAGTTCTCCTTAGAGAAGCCACAAACGAACTTACTCAGACTCACTCCCTCTGAGCTCCAGCACTGCAGTAGCAGCTTGAAAGGCACCAGTGGTATACAGGGAGGAACTGAAGTGTCTGGCATCAAGGTGAGAGCTGGGGGACAACTTTCTCCCAGAGAAAGGCGGGCACAGCCACAGAGCCAGCAGGCAGGTGCCCTATCTGAGACTCCATCAACCTGTTTGCCCTACCCTGATCATCCCGTGAGGTCCCTCCCACCCAATTTACATCTGTTAAAAGTGGATTTTCACCCTGGCTTGTGTAGCTCAGTGGATTGAGCACGGGCCTGTGAAGCAAAGGGTCGCTGGTTCGATTCCCAGTCAGGGCACATATCTGGGTTGCAGGCTAGTTCCCAGCAGGGGACACACGAGAGGCAACCCATACATTGATATTTTTCTCCCTCTCTCCTTCCTTCCCCTCTCCTTCTCTTCCTCTCTAAAGACAAATAAATAAAATCTTTAAAAAAATGCCTTTCTTTAAAAAAAAAGTGGTTTTCCATATGAATGCCTGGAGTTGGCTCTTGGTTCACAGCTTCCTAAATCCCTTCAAACAAGCAATAGCTAGCCTCAGTGAGCCCCCAACCCCCATACCGCTTACAAAGTGGCCCCAGGCCTGGCACTAGCAGCAGCCAACATAGATTCACGGTTTGGCTTCCCCTGGGAATCTGGAAGCCAAGCACAAGTAGCAGCCATCTCAGATTGTTCTATGTAGCTCAGGAAGCGTGGCCCCAGGCAAAACACAGATGGAGGCTGATCTTAGCTGCCCCACCAGGGAAACCCAGAGCCTGCACACCCAGTGGACAGTGTGACAAGCCACATGGGAGCACCACCACCCTGCCCCTGCACGGCTGATCCTCCAAGGAGGTAGAAGTTGGTGATTAAGTGGTCACAGCCAATCCTTGCAGATGACTGGCCTGGGTGAATCCCTCCCATTGACCTTACCAGAGCAATAAAGGCTCAACTACAAGAGAAGAGTGTACTCAACTCACACAAAGGGGTGCACCTCAAGTACTCAGCTTAGGTGATAGGGGAGTCTGTGCCACTGGACCCTACAGGACACCTACTGCATTAGACCGTGCTACCAAGACAGGGAGTCATAGCAGCTCTACCTAATACATAGAAACAAACTCAGGGAGGCTGCCAAAATGAAGAGACAAAGAAATATGGCCCAAATGAAAGAACAGATCAAAATGCCGGGAAAAAAAACTAAACAAATTGGAGATAAGTAATTTACTAGATGCAGAATTCAAAATACTGTTATGAGGATGCTCAAAGAACTTAGTGAGGACCTCAACAGCATAAAAAAGATCCAGTCAGAAATGAAGGATACACTAATTGAAATAAAGAAAAATTTAGGGAAACAACAATAGAGTGGGTGAAACCAAGAATCAAATTGATGATGTGGAACATAAGGAAGCAAAAAACAGGCAATCAGAACAACAAGAAGAAAAAAGAATAAAAAAAACAAGGATAGTGTCAGTCAGCAGCTTCTGGGACAACTTCAAGCATTCCAACATTTGCATCATAGGGATATCAGAAGGAGAAGAGAAAGAGCAAGAAACTGGAAATCTATTTGAAAAATATAATGAAAGAATACTTCCCTAAATTGGTGAAGGAATTAGACATGCAAGTCCAGGAAGCACAGATAGTTCCAAACAAGATGGATGAAAAGAGGCCCACTCCAAGACACATCATAATTAAAATGCCAAAGTATGAAGATAAAGAGAATCTTTTAAAAAAAGATTTTATTTATTTATTTTTAGAGAGAAGGGAAGGGAGGGAGAAATAGAAGGAGAGAAATATCAATATGTGGTTGCCTGTCATGTGTCCCTTACTGGGGACCTGACCTGCAACCCAGGCATGTGTCCTGACTGGGAATCGAACCAGCAACCCTTTGTTTTACAGGCCCGTGCTCAATCCACTGAGTTAAACCAGCTAGGGCTAAAGAGAGAATCATAAAAGCAGCAGGAGAAAAGCAGGTAGTTATCTACAGGAGAGTTCCCATAAGACTACTAGCTGATTTCTCAAAAGAAACCTTTCAGGCTAGAAGGGACAGTCAGGAAATACTGAAAGTGATGCAAAGCAGAGAGACCTGTATTCAAGATTGCTCTACCCAGCAAAGATATCATTTATAATCAAAGACCAGGTAAAGAGCTTCCCAGACAAGAAAAAACTAAAGGAGTTCATCATCACCAAACCATTATTAAATGAAATGTTAAAGGGACTTATTTAAGAAAAAGAAGATCAAAACTATGAACAGTAAAATGGCAATAAATACATATGTATCAACAATTGGATCTAAAAAATTAAGCAAACAAGAACAGAGACAAGATCGTGGACATGGAAAACATTTTGATGGTTGCCAGATGGAAGGCAGTTGAGGGAGAATGGGTGAACAGGTGAGGGGATTAAGAAGTACAAATAGGAATACAAATAGTACAAAAGACGAGAAATAAATATATAATGTCAGGTAGCAATAAATGTTATTAAGAAAAAGAGGGTAAAAGGAAAGAGAGTGAGTGGTGGGGATGAGGGGGTACTCTTTTAACTTGGGGTCCAGAAGAGTCCTTTTTAAGAGGAAATGTCATTTAGGCGGAGCAGTGCTCTTAAGTCTCAATCCAAGAAGGAGCCAGCTGTATGCAGATCTGGGAAAAGAGCATTCCACGTGGAGGTAGGCGGAAGTGTGGCTGTTGGTGGAACAGGAAGATGATCAGTTTATAGGTGGAACAGAGGAAGCGAGGGAGAGTGTAGGAGCCAGATTGTGTGGAGCCTTGAAGACTAGGGTGGGAGATGTGATTTTAAATGTCAGTGAGGAGCTGTTGGAGGTTTTGAGGATAGTTGTGTGACCTGACTTAAAATTTTTAAAAGGTTATTCTGCCTCCCGAGCAAATTGACTGAAGAGAGGTGTAGTAGAAGCCAGGACTCTTTTGGGACGTGTCTCAGTAGTTCAGTCAATAGAGTGTGGTGATTTGCACTGGGACCATGTAATGACATATTGCAGATGGGGGAAGTGGCTGCATCTAGGGTGTATTTAAAGGGACAGCCATCAGGACTTACTAATCAGGGGGAAGGTAAGGAAGACTTCTCAGTATTTGGCTTGTGTAACTCGGTAAAGAGGAGCTCTTGGGGTAATGCAGGATTTTATGGCAAACTCCAAAATTGTTTTGAGTATATTAAATTTGAGGAACCTAAAAATATTCCCATAGAGCTATTGGCTAGGCAGTTTGGTAAATGGAGCTCAGGAAAGCTCAGGGCTGGATGTAGAAATTTTCCAGTCTTTTCCTATTAAATTACTTTAAATCGGAGGGACTATATGAGATTATTAGTATGTGCATGGGCAGAGGATACATGAGGACTGAGGAGACTGAAGGGATGGCCAGAAAAGTCAGAGGAAGTGTTATCTTCACAGAGTGAAGAAGGTGTTTCAACACAGAAGGTGTTTCAAGAAGGAGGGACCGAAAAGTGACTCTTTGATACGGAAGAGACTGCCTGCTCTTAAGGAGTTATCCTTAAACATATCACGTATTGTTATTTACATCTTCTTTTGTTTCCCATTTTGCATTTCGTTTATGAGAGCTGTTTTTCGTGGAGTTGCTTTTGCCTCATCTATGCCATACTTAGTCTCTTACCGTTGCAAGCAATAGAAAGCCTGTTCAAAATAGCTTATGGCAAAAAGTAGAACGCGTTGGTTCACGTAACTGAGAAGTCTGCAGTGCTCTGACTTCAGACACACCTGGATTCGGGGATCACATGCTGGTGTCAGGGCTCTGCTTCTCTTTGTTCATCTCTGGGCTCTATATGGCGGTGTAACAGGCTGCACTGGCCTTAGAATGTTTATCTCAGAGGAAGAGAAGGAAGTTTTCCTTTTTAGCATTTGTATTTCACATTCCATGCAGAAGCTTTGGTGGACCCTGCTTGGTCTACGTGCTTAGACAAGCCAGCGTGAAGGAGGAAGTGGGGCACCACAAACGGCCCGCTCTGGCTCAGGGTCCACCTCTGCTGCCAGGGCACGGCTGAGGCTCTGAGATGAGCAGTCCTGGCCGAACTACATGGGTTGCGGGTTGGGTCACTTTATGAAAGGAAGCTCGGCCAAGAAGGCCATATATTCCTTGTGTCTGGGATAAAATTGTTGCCCAGTATTGTCTAGTATCCAGTGGTACTCCTTGAGACCCAGAATGCGGGGGTCTACCTTAAGCACACTCAGCATACAATAAAAAATTCAAAAGTTAATTTGAGGTGGTTTTTCTTTTGCCCTATCAAGAATCTTTTTAAAAGTATGTAAGTCATAATACTTACTATAGAAAGATCAGAAAATACAGATAAAGAAACTAGACTAGACATTATGAGCAGAATTTTGCCTGATATAAATACAGATGTGTGTATATATAAACCAAGTGTATGTATGTTACATATTTTTAAAAATGAGGTCACACTTCTGTAACCTACTGTTTGGCTTAATCTCTATGATGAATGTCTTGTCTTAATAACTCTGCAACCTCATTTAAATGGCAGTTTTGTGTTATCTATTATATAGACATTACACTGGTTTCCTAATAGTAGCCATTAAATTATTTCCATTTTTTTCTTAAAATTTTTTAAATGTTTGCTTACTTTTGGGATTATTTCCATGAGTCATACACAGTCTTATGAAATTACTGGCTCTAAGGGTGTGTGCTTTCTTGGGGGATTTCAGTTCACGTTGCTAAGTTGCATTTCAGAAAGACCACACCAGTTTATATATTCACCAGTGGTGTATCAGAATCCCATTTTCACTTGTTCCTTTTTAATCTTTGCCAATCTAATCAGCAAAAAGTGGTATGTGACTTATTACATTTCTCTGATTATATTGCTAATTAGGTCAAACTGTATTCTGTATGTTTATAAGTCATTGGCATGTCTGTTTTATAAATTGTCTAGTCAGTGTTAAAGTGTCAAAAGCCACTGCCATTGAGTGACAGTCCACACTTGAGTATTGAGTACTTGAGTTTCACTTATGTGAACACATGTTCACGTAAATTTTCATTTCTAGGAGCTCTCTGAGGTTTTTGTACATGTGTATTATCCCTGTTTTGCAGCTACTGTTCCAAGATCACCTTGCTTATGAATGGTGGAACTCTGGATTTTGTTTCCTTTTAGTTATGTTTATCTAAAGTGTTCTGTATTAGTGAAATTATAATGCCGTTATTGGGGAATATGGTTTGAGCCTTAAAAATGGGGCTTGGATGTTTTTTTTCAATGGACAGTCACAACTGCTTGTAGTACGCAACACAGTGTCTGACTGTCCAGATAGACCCTTTTCTTAGGACCTCATTAGATGAAAAAGTTTACATAAAATGAGTTCACTTTTTTCTCTTGCTCTGTGAAACATCATAGAAAGATCCTTTTTAAATAAAATAAGAAAAGAATAACTAATGCTTTTAAATGCCTTTCCTAGCAACTTTTTCTACTCTCAGTCTAATTTTAATTTGATTCTTTAAACTGTAAAGTGTTTATGAAAGCAGAAATTAGTACATTTTGAAGTTTTAATTAAATAAATTTTGGTAGTATTTATATAAGCTCTAAATACAAACATGTTCCCTTCATCTGTGAGACCAAAATTAGCAGACAATACTGACTCACAGTTGACTTTTATCTTTGTAGAGTATAATTTGATTATTAAGGTGCAGGTGTGCAGCTGCTAAAAAGTTTCTAAATTCGTTTGCTGCTTCACTCTGCAGAAGTTGGACATTAAGAGCAGGTGTTTGAACATAACAGTAACCCAGTAACTGTGAACTCTCGGCTGTGCATGTGTGGTTTTAGTTGAGGTTTTTGCCGTTGTCTTTGTATAATAACAAGAAGGTATAAACTGATGCTTTCGGGGTTATTGTAACACATGGACTAAACAGTCCCAGTGTATTAAGCTTGGAGTGTATTAGAGGCTGTTTAGCCTTCTTTTTACAGTAGAGCACCAACAGAAGTTTTGTCTTCCTCTTCTTCTTATAGCAGAAGAGTTTAAAGAGTAGAGGCATGTCAGTGATGGCACAGCAAACTTCGGCATTTGCAAATTGAACACTTACCGTTAGCTCTTGTGAGCATTTCTGGAGATCCATGTAGTGGCAATTCGCAAATTTTGTTGCAGAGGTTTTACTTCTAACAGAATACTTGTGAGAAGCTAGACAGAATTAAGTATCTACACCATAGTCTGCATAGAATTGAAAAGCTATGTTTTGTTTATTTGATCGTCACCTGGGGATATGTTTATTGACTTTAGAGAGAGGTGGGGGGAAGGGGGGAGAGAGAAAGAAACATCGATGTGAGAGAGAAACATCGACCAGTTGCCTCTTGTATGCACCCTGACCAGGGATTGAACCCACAACCTAGGTATGTCCCTTGAATGGGAATTGAACCTGCAGCCTTTTTGATGTATGAGTATAGAACAACGCTCCAACCAGCTGAGCCACCTGGCCAGGGCAAAAGGCCCTGTATTTTAGATGTTTTCATCTCAGCTAGTGTCATAAAAATTTAATATTAGATGACAGCTATAGATGTGCATCAGAATTACTTTTCCATGATATGAATGATATTTGCAAATATTTCTAATAATATCTCTTAAGAAAACAAAAAACAAAGAAACAGCTATTGGTAGAGATCTAATGATCAAATAAGGAAGTGTGTAGCCTTTACATTATGAAACTAAGATATCAAATGAGTGCTTATGTAGACTGTATAATGTTAAAGCAGTATAAAAACATAAGACAAGTGTGCATATATAAAGTTATAAAGCTTTGTGTGCTTTGAAATCCTGTCTGTATGATAGTACTTTGAAAGGATATTTAGGGCACCAAATTAGCATTGATGTTTGAGGATTACAAATCTACAAGGATTAAAACAATATGATAGTAATAGCAGAACCATTTATTGGATGCTTGCTTTTTGTCAAGTTTTCCACCGACTCTATAATCAGTTGTAAAACTGTGTTTGATGATACTACTGTATTCACTTCCGATTCCAAATAGTCCAGTAGACAGCACATTAAGTGAAGTAAATTGTCTGAAGGTGAGTCCATTAACGTACTTGCTGTAGGTAGTCCCTCAAGTCGTACTAACAGTGTTAACATGCGTGGAGAACTCTGTGCCAAGCACGGCGCTATATGCTTTGCATGAATTATCTTAATTAATCTTTCTAACCAGCTGCATTGGTAAGTACTTCTGTCGCTGTCCAGTTTACAGATGAGGAGACAGAAGGAGAGAGAGCTTGTGGGACCTGACCACAGCCACAGGCATGGCAGGCTCCATGAGCCAGAGTGGAAACCTAAACACTGGCCTTGAGCCAGTGAACTTCTCCTCTGCGTTGTGTTGTTATTATTTTTGGTAACTTTTAAACAGAGAAAACAGCTTATTCCTTGGGGAGAGGCGAGGGATTGAGAAGACAGGCCCTGGGTAAAATTATTCCGACAGCACCTGCAGTTGCGAGGCCTGCCGCACCCCCGGCGCCGCGGTTCACAGGGGGCTGCCACACCCCCCGGGGGCTGTGCCCGCTGCTCTAGATCCCAGTCAGGACCGAGTCACGAAAGTCTTCCAGCTCGTCATGAAACAAGTCCCACTCCTGACGGTCTTTGTCTGATCCATTCCATGTCACAGTGTTGAAAGCATTATAGAGGCAGCGATTTTGAACAGAAAGATTCACGGCAGCCGTGAGGGTGAAAAACTTTGGTGACGTCATGGCTGCCACAGTACTTGTTTTAAGAACCAAAGTCAGTAAAATCTGTAGACCTAAGTTCTGCTCATAAGTACCGTGTTATTAATTTCACTTTATGGAACCATTTATAGTTTCCCCTTGTCAAGTAATATGGCAACATTTTCTTTTAAATCCTTCTCCTATAGTTGTTAATTAATTAATTTTTATGTGGCTATATGAACATTTGATGTGGACCTCTGGTGGAAGGTATAAAATAGCTTGTTAAGTGATCATATAATACTTTAGATCTTCTTTTTAACTTTTAAAACTATTTTATTCAGGTTGGTTTGAGTTCCACAAATACAGAATTAAGAGGATTTATAGATCAGAATCTCAGTCCAACAAAAGGTAAGGACAGTTGAATAAAAATTTTCTGCATTGAGCCAGTTTTATTGCATTTGTTTTATAAAACATGAAGGTACCTGCGTTACTTTCTGTATAATAATGCGTATATACTGTTACCATGTTGTTATCCACCAAATGACTTGTATCAGATGACAGTCACCTCTGAGAGGAGGGGAGAGTGTGTGACTTTTCTCCATCTCTTTCCTAAGAAGTCTCTAAGACCGTACTCGATCAGTGATCCTATTACATTGAAAACGAACTAGTTAAGTCCTTTCCTTCCTGATTTTCTTGTTTGAGAGCCCTCCTTAGTGGTTTAACTTGTAAGGGACTACAAAAGAATGACCAAATGTATTGTAATTCCTGTGTGTGATGGATGGCTCACTGGAGGAATCTTCAGGAAGATTCCGTATATCAGACATCCGACCCACCAGTACAGGAACTTATGGAAGAGGCTGGTCATATATTCGATGTGTATCTTTCAACAGTATCTGTTGGTGTGTGGAGATAACATACTGAAATATTTATGACTGAAATGATATGATGTCTGAGACTGGCTTCAGAATAATCCACTGGGGGAAGAAGAGTAAAATGGGTAGAATTATAGACAAAACAAAGTTTTCTCTGAGTTGATTCATTGTTTAAGCTGGGTGATAGCCATATGAGATTCTGTTATTTCTCTCTCTCTTCCTTTGTATATATTTGAAGTTTTCCATTAAAACTGGTAGGAGCAAAATGTATGCCATTACAATACAAAGAGGCTCTGAGAGAAACACGAGCTTCCTCCAAGTGTTTATGTCTCCAGTAAAGCTCTGCACTCTGGAGAGAAGGCTAGAGAAATCTGTATTTCGGTATAAAAATGTATGGCTTAATTATAATGACCTGTAGAATTACTGAGAGTTTAAATATGGATTTTGAAGCAATAAGAGAGGTGTTTGGTATGTCAAGTGTTGACACTTCTGTTTTTTTCCCAAATGTTTTACTGTGGTGAAGTACATGTACCATCAAATTTCCCACTTTAACCATTATTCCATCGATGGCTGGTGGTATGAGGACACTCGTGCTGTGCAGCCATCGCCACTGTTTATCTCTGACTCTCCGCCTTGCACAACTAAGCTCTACCCAGTACACAACTCCACATTGCCCCCTCTCATCAGCCCCTGCAGAGCACCATTCCACTTTCTGTGTTTGTGATTTGGACTATTCTAAGTAGCTCATATAAGCAGAATCGTACAGTACATGTCTTTTGTGACTGGCTTATTTCACTTAGCATATGACCTCAAGGTTCACCCATGTGGTAGCATGTGTCAGAATGCCCTTCCTTTTCAAGGCTGAATATTCATTGTCCATATATACAGTAGTAGGCAAATGCAGGTTTACGGTTGTTCACATGGAAAAGGATATAATAATAAATAATAATACAAGAGTAAACTCTTTTTTTGTACTCACAACTGTAAACCTACATTTGCCCACGCTGTATATTAGTCCGCAGCTTATCTTGCAGCGTGGTCTGTTACCTGTGGTCAGCCACAGTCTGAAAATATTAAATGGAAAACTCTAGAAACAAACACTTTGTAAGTTTTGAATTGTGCTCTGTTCTGAGTAAGATGATGAAATTTCACGCTGCCCCACACAGACGTGAATCATCCCTTGTCCGGGGTGTCCGCACCGTAGATGCTCCCCGCCCTTCAGTCACTTAGTAGCCGCCCGGGTTATTGGATCAGCTGTCAGTGTGGCCATGCTTGTGTTCATGCAACCCTTATTCTATTTAATAATGGCCCAAAGCGCAAGAGTAGTGGTGATGGCAATCCGGGTGTGCCAAAGAGAAGCCACAAAGTACTTCCTTTAAGTGAAAGGGTGTGTACAGTATCTATAGGAAAAAACTTAGTGTACATAGGGTTCAGTACTGTACATAAGTATACGCAGGGTTCAGCCATTCCATCGAATCCATCTCCCTTGGGTAAGGGGGACTACTGTACCACATTCTGCTTACCCATTCATCCATTGGTGGACACATGGGCTGCTTTTTGGTTGTAGCTCTTGTGAATAACGCTGTCGTGAAGTGGGAGCACAGCTGTCTCCTTACAGCACAGGGAATGTGGCAACAGTTTTGCAATCGCTGCGTGTGGTGTCAGACGCGTACTACACTTAAACCGGGGTGGTCGCTTCATGGGTCACATAACTGCCTACGCACTGTTGTGCACTTGAAACTAATGTAGTACTGTCTGTCAACAGTAATTGAAAATAAAGTAATATTTTAAAATATATGTTCCTCAAGACCCTGTTTTTTAAAAATTCAAGAGCCCGCTTTTCATTCTTTTGGGTATATACATAGAAGTGGAATTGCTGGCAGTTCTGTTTTTACTATTTTGAGGAATTGCCATTCCAGTTTCCACAGCAGCTGCACCATCTTACATTCCCACCAACGGTGCTCAGGTCCTCCAATTTCTCCACATCCTCACCAGCACTTGTTACTTTCCTTTTAATAGTGATCCTCTTGATGGGAATTAGGTGGTATCTCAGTCTAGTTTTGATTTGCATTTCCGTAATAACTAGTGATGTGGAGCATCTTTTCATGTGTTTATTAGTCATTTGTGCATCTTCTTTGGAGAAATGTCTATGGAGTGCTTTATATGCTTCTTAGTTGTTTTTTTTTCACATTATGGCATAAATAGAACATTTGTTAACATTTGTTAACAAATAGAACATTGATAACATTTATAGCATTGATAACATTATGCACTAGGGCTAAACAAATGAGGTGGCTTGAGGTCAGAGGTAAGCTAGCCAGGAGCTCCGGCTGGGCTGTCCCAGCCCACTCCTGGCTGCCCCAAGGCCAAAGGGGTCGGTATCTTAGTAACCCTTAGCCTCTTCACAACAGAGTCGGAAATCTCAGCTCCAATGAATTGTACTACTCAGGTCTGGAGAAGGAGCTGGGACAGCAAGCTTCGTAGTTGTGGAAAACTCTGATACCGACCAGTGGGACAGAGATAATGGAGTAGTGCAGTGATCTTGGAAATAAAAAGGGAGAGGACACCAAGTCATGAAAGGGAAGGGTGGCATAGGAAAAGGCCTTCAAAATATAGACGACAAAGGGAGAGACTGAGGGGTGAGGTGAGGGAGATGGATTGTCTCTGATGGGACTGGAGGCATCTGCAGGGAAGAAAGAGGGTCGTGAAGGTCAGCCACGAATGTATGTTAATAACACCAGGGAAGTTTAGTTACGGGTAAAACCTCCTCAGTTTGTTTAACTTGATAGAACAAATGGAGAAGATGGGGACAATCATTTATGAGGCAAAAACTAGAGAAATCAGGTTTAGAAACAGCTATTTGTTTAAAAAAAAAAAAAAGGCATTCCTCTTCCTTGAGCTGTTGGCTGGTGGCAGCAAAAAGAGCTCCAGGTTAATCAAACTACAGGATTTAGAAAAGAGTCTTCTCTTAATTTTTTAAATTGTTGAAATTCAGTTAATATTTATTACAGGCCTAAGATGAGAATTGTATTGGAAATAAGTTGTAGAAAAGTATAGAAGAGTATTTTACTTAATGGAAATGAGGATATAACAATATTATAGAAAAATTTAAAAATTAGTGAAAAAATTCTATCATCTAACATAACTTTTTGTTTTTCTTTATTGTTTTTCATCCATTACTGATATACTGATGTTTATAGTTACAAAGCTAATATACATACAATTTTCTCCTGATTTTTGACCAAGTGCAGAAAAACACTTATATCGATGATCTTCATAAACAGCATTTTTAGAGTTTCATACTATTTCATTGTGTTTTTATCGATCATAATTCATTCATCATTTCCCATTTTCTTATTGCTGGATATTTAAGTCTTTTTTGGCTGGTTATATATGTATGATGTGTATATGTTTCCATATGTATATAAACACATACATAGACATCCATATCTTTATATAGCTGGGATGCTGGACAAAACAATGAATATTTTTAGTCAGCTAAGTTTTTGTTTCTCTTTACTTATTTTCTTAATATATTCAGTTACTAGGTTGTTCCCCTGCTTAAAACCTTTTTCACAACTTCCTATTTAAATTAGGATACAATCCCAAACTCCTTACTCACAAAATCCTGCATTATGTCCCTACACGTGACTTCATCCTTGTTTCTGCCACTCGTCTTGGTACCCACTATACCTCAGCCACACTGGTGTTTCTTTGGGGAAGTTCACAGTATCTGTGAGGAAATTAAAAAATACTGACTTCTTTTGGCCATGGAATCAAGCTTTTAAGAGTCTGCATTAGGGAAGTCATCTTAAATATAAAAAGATTAGCCATAATTTTTTTTGGTTTTCAGCATTGGACCGCGATATGCATAGGTATGGTTTTCTTTGTATCTATTCTGTTTGAGGCTCACTGAACTTCGAAAGTTACATCTTTCACCAAATTTAAGAAAGTTTTGGCTATTAAATGTGCAATTTTTTTCTGTAAGAGGGTCTCTCTTTGTAACTTCAGTTACATGTATGTTACATCTTTTGGACTTGCTCTGCAAATCCTCAGGTTTTGTTCATTTTTTTCTCCCAACTTTTTTCCTCTGTGTTCTTCACACTGGAAATTTTTGTGTTAATCTACACTTTAGTTGACTTACTTTTTTCTGTTGTCATGATTCTACTGTTAAGTTTATCCAATGAATTTTTAATTTCAGATACTAAATACTCAGTTCTAGAATTTTTATTTGGTTTTACTGAGAATTTCTGTCTTTTGTTCATAATGAAACTTTTACTTTACATTCTTAAAATACAGTTATAATAGCTGCTTTAAAATTCTTCTGTTAATTCCAACGTCTAAGTCATTACATGGTCAAATTCATTGATTGCCTTTCACTTTGAGAATAAGCCATGTTCATCTGTTTTTTTATATGTCAAGTAATTCAGATATACAAGGTCTGTCCAGAATGTATCCAGCCATGTAATATGAAAAATAGAGACATTTATTGAAAAAGATACAAGATGCAAGAAACACTGTACATAGGACCATAAT